GATGTGCAGGAGGCAGCTGATCGATGTTTCTAGCTCTCTATCTCTCTCCCTTCCTCTCTGTAAAAAATCAATAAAATAAATATTTTTTAAAAAAGTCTCAGTTGGCATTTAAATAAAGGAAACAGATTAATGCAGCCCCTAGTTGAAGGTCATTTCACTGCATCGCCCACCAGTCGCCCCAGTCTCCACCCCCATGTACCTCCATGTAGTACTCGGGCTCTAGAGAAAGCAGTTCAGGAGTGAATAATATTTCTGTTTTAGTAAACAGTTAACTCTGTTCATTGAGTTACATAGCCTGGTGCTGAGAAGCAGGAGTCACAGACCACCATTGCCCACCATCGGACCTGGTGTTCTCTAAAATAGTGTCAACACAGTATCTTTGCCTCTTCTGGCCTAGAAATGTGACATTTTTATTAAAGAGAAGGATCTATATATATATAAAAGCCTAAGTGACCATTAGGACCAGTCAACCGAACGACTGGTAGACTGGTCGCTATGACATGCACTGACCACCAAGGGGCAGATGCCCAATGCAGGAGCTGCCCTGTGGTGGTCAGTGCGCTCCCACAGCCAGCCGACTCCCGCGCCCCCTCCCCCCCCATTGGGACTGGGCGAGACAGCCCTATCGGCCGATTGCCAGCCAGCCCGAGGGATCCCAGTTTAAGTATAAGAGTAGTAAAAAACCAGAGATCTCTTTCATAAGCTGTTTTCTCCTTTAATTCACGCATGGACTTACAAAACCATCTTTATTACTACTGCAGGCCATGGTTGCTTGTTACCCAGGCAATGGGACGGGATATGTGCGTCATGTTGATAATCCCAACGGAGATGGAAGATGTGTGACATGTATATATTATCTTAATAAAGACTGGGACGCCAAGGTATGCGACTTCAGTGAACATTCTTCTTTCCCACAGGCACTTAACACTCCCGTAGGTAAGACTGTCTTTAACACACGTAACAAACATTTCTTAGATTTGTTTCAGTCTGAGGTATTAGGCGTAGATCTTTGTAAAATGAAACAAATACTAATAGTCTCAAAAAGTGGGTTCCTTTACTTTCAGATATTGACGTGTTCACCTAAAATTTAACTTTTATGAAAGTGTTTTATTAAAATACTAGAGGCCTGGGGCACAAAATTCGTGCAAGGGGCTCGGTCCTCATAGCTGCAGTGGCTGCCTGGGCCCTCACAGCCCGGCTTCTTGTCCGGAAGGTCGTTTGGCTGTCCAGTCTAATTAATTAGCATATTACACTTTTTTTTTTATTATCGATTTCCCATGTGAACAACTGTAAACCTAGTTGTGCCCCACCCTATAAATAAGAAATGTTCACTAATTTAAAACTTCATTTTAAGACTTTGGGATTCAGATAATACTCATCTGTTTTAGCCAGTATTTTCAAAAACCCTAAAACAGGAAATGATTTTTTTCTTGTATCAGTGCATTTACTTAGAATTTCAACTCACCTTCAAACCTTGTTAATTGAGATATATCTGTGAAGAATCCAGTTAAGAATTTTGAGTCGCTGTAATGAACGCCCGTCCCCTTAAAGTTAATTTTATAGCATTCTCGGTTGTTCACACTTAGATATTTGACTCTCTTCCTAGGTAAGTGGAGGTATACTTCGAATTTTTCCAGAAGGCAAAGCCCAGTTTGCTGACATTGAACCCAAATTTGATAGACTGCTGTTTTTCTGGTCTGACCGCCGCAACCCTCATGAAGTACAACCAGCATTTGCTACAAGGTAGTATTCCTTTAAGAAACAATTGTTAAGATGATGGCAGGACGGAGGGGGTAGATAAGATGAACTTGAGTTTTCTAATGAGTATTTTCATGTTCTTCAGTGACGTGTATTGTAATGCTTCGGTCATGACGTGGAATGTGAGTTGTTTTAAGATCTGTTCCCAGTTAGTGCTGCCTGTGTCTGCACAGACGCTCCTTGTTGGGGGTAAAAGCGATCGCGCGGCCCCTGTCCTCTTTCCAGCCCCATCTCCTTGTTTGTCCATCTCTTATCTCCTCACCCTCCTGTGATCTCGTGAGAGTAGAGTTGGCCCTTGGCCAGTGTGTGGATAAAGGGGTACAGACTCCCAAGCAGTCAAAAATCCGTGTGTGACTTTTGACCCCCAAAACCCGTAACTGCTAATAGCTTGCTGTTAACCAGAAGCCTTAGTGCTAACGGAGTCCATGAGCACATTATATGTATCACATCCTGTGTTCTTACAATAAAGGAAGCCCGAGGAAAGAAAATGTTATTAAGGAAAATCGCAAGGAAGATAAATATATTACAGTGCATTTTGAAGAAAACCTGCTGTAGGTGGACCCATGCCCTTCAAACCCGTGTTGTTCAGGGTCAACTGCATTCACTTGGAATAGAAAGAACAGACAGAGAAGGAAAGGGGAGCTTTTCAAAAAGTGGGGAGGGGGGAAGAGAGAGATGATGTAGGAGAATACACCAAGGAGAGAAACCAGAGGTGACCAGGGAGCAGAAGTGAGGAGAAAAAAGAATAGAGGACAGAAAGGCTGTCATGTGTGGGAATTAAGGTTGGAAAAATAACCTTTAGCTTTAATAATAGCATCTCTTTCCACATTATATATATATATTATTTTTTTATATATATATTTTTAAACAAGGTTTAATATTCTATAACTAGTATGCTGTTTAATGTATTTCTTAAATTCTTTTTTTTGCATTTATTGTGGCTCAATTGTTAAGACTTAAAGTGGAAGATGATACAGACATTGTTTTAAAAATAATATTTGTAGAAAAATAGCACAATGTATTAAATACCTATTTTTTATTATCAAAAGGACTTTGAACATCATGATAGTGGATTACTGTCATGCAGTTGCTTGATATGGTGACAAGAGGCACACACTCAGACACTGGGGAAGAGTAGGCTTTTTAAAAAATACATATTTTTACTGATTTCAGAGAGGGAGAGAGAGAAACATCAATGGTGAGAGAATCATTGATCGGCTGCCTCGTGCACGCCTCCTACTGGGGATCAAGCCTGCAACCTAGGCATGTGTCCTGACTGGGAATTAAACCGTGACCTCCTGGTTCATAGGTCGACGCTCAACCACTGAGCCACACCAGCCAGGCCCAGCTGCTTCTTTAGAACTTTTCTGACCTAGAAACTGCTTCACAGACCTTCCTTTTAATGGAGTCCTGAGTGTGGTCTGTTTGTATCCTTTCTAGAGGAAGAGGTAACAGACATTTTTAGGTAGTACAGGAAGTAACTGCCAGGCGATACGGAGGGTAAGGGCCACAAGCGTTTGGAGGGGGGACAGTGTGTGAGTTGGTGAGAAGGGTCCGTGTCCAGCAGAGAGAAGTGCTCAGCTGGCCTGGGATGTCAGGAAGCAAGGACAGGGGTGTCCCTCGGGCCTGGGGGAAGGGACAGACAGGCCCGCCCAGCTCCAGGGCAGAGGTTCCCGTGAGGAGTTCCTCCGGAGGCCGGGGCAATGAGGGAGAAACGGATCCATGTGGTGGCTTACCAGTGTTTGCAGGTCAGGACTGAGGGCCGGAGAGGGGAGGTGATCCAGCATCTAGAACTGTGATGACTAAGAAGCTCCAAGTTTGGGGCATGGGCGACAGAGAGAGAAGCCACATACCTGGGCCCCATTCCTCTTACCAAGGCCTCTCGGGAAAATAGAGTCTAGATCAGCCGTGGGCAAACTACGGCCTGCGGGCTGGAGCCGGCCCATTTGAAATGAATAAAACTAAAAAAAAAAAAAGACCGTACCCTTTTATGTGATGATGTTTACTTTTTTGAATTTATATTAGTCCACACAAACACTCCATCCATGCTTTTGTTCCGGCCCTCCGGTCCAGTTTAAGAACCCATTGTGGCCCTCGAGTCAAAAAGTTTGCCCACCCCTGGTCTAGATGTTAAGAAAGGTGCGGGGAAGAGCAGAGGCTGGACTGCAACCTCTGGTCTGTCCCTCCCCGTCTGAGAGGTCCACGGGCCTGTTTCCCCAGGTGTCCCAACTCTCAGACTGCTCTGCCTTTGACTCTTCACTTCAGATATTTTACACGATTTAGCTCTGTCCCGTGTACTGGCTCTTCACGCGATCGGTGTTGCTTTCCCCCAGTGAATCCTGGCGGAATCTGCAAGGTGCTTTACCTGCCTGCTGTGGTCTCTTTTACAGAGAGGAAGGGAGAGAAATAGAGAGCTAGAAACATCAATGAGAGAGAAACATCCATCAGCTGCCTCCTGCACACCCCCTACTGGGGATGTGCCCGCAACCAGGGTACGTGCCCTTGACCGGAATCAAACCTGGGACCCTTCAGTCCGCAGGCCGATGCTCTAGCCACTGAGCCAAACCAGTTAGGGCCTGCTGTGTTCTCTTAAGGAGGTGACTGCAGCACGCGGTCAGGTCCCCCATTTTTGGCACCAAAAGGGGTAACTATGTACTGGATAGTATTTAATAAACCAGAGGTTCCTCATTTATTTGTGGAATATATTCCCAATAAGTGAAATTTTCAGAAAGATGAAGTTTAGCTAAGCTGTATGTCTAAAGACAGTATAACCGTTACGATAAAAGTCCTAAAAAATTCCTGGCATCATTGAAATCTCTCTTGGTGACTCGAGGTTATAAAATGGTGAGCATCCATCATGACTCTTCACGGTCATGCAGTGCTGTCCTTCCTGCCCCTGCAGAGCCGCAGCCCTGGGTCCTCTGCTGTTCTCTGCCCTCGAGCTCCTGTTCGGGAAGGTGCAGCAACTGTTCTTTACCCCTCAGTACCTGTGTGTCGGCTGGGGGCTGGCCGACCATCGTCATGCAGCTAAGGAGGCACCCAGGAGCCATAAACTCCTCCCTGGGCGCCCCCCCCTTCCGCTGCTCCTGCCTCCCTGCTGACCTCTTGAGCATCAGCCTTGAGCATCATGGAGGCCAGCTGAGTGGGGGTAACTCTGCTCATTATCCCGGTAACTTTCCGACGGAGGCGTTGTTTTGACATGACACGTTCTATAGACCATTGCAGCAGCATGCCCCTTCCCCGTGTGATCGTTCTTACCCTGTTCTAAATTCTCTTTTAGGTACGCAATAACTGTTTGGTATTTTGATGCAGATGAGAGAGCCCGAGCTAAAGTAAAATATCAAACAGGTAAACAGCATTTGGGGCCAGGGTGCGCTGGAAGGACCATGCCCACGGTCCTTGTCTGGTCAGAGTCCTCGGTTCCCTGATTCCAAAGAGGACTTCTTCTCAGTCAGCGGCAGTGTTATCTTTCACAAAAGCATGGCCCAAAGAATAGGAACGTTTGGGGCACAGAAGCCTGAGAACATTACAACCCAGGCCGGGTTTCTGGGTGATTATCCTGCTCAGTCGAGAGCTGCTGAGCTCCGGTAGCTGCCCCCGGGCTTCCTCTCCCGGTGCCCATAGAAGGAAGTTAACGTCTTTTCCTTTTTAAATATATTTTATTGATTTTTTACAGAGAGGAAGGGAGAGAGATAGAGAGTTAGAAACATCAGTGATAGAAACATCGATCAGCTGCCTCCTGCACATCCCCCACTGGGGATGTGCCCGCAACCCAGGCACATGCCCCTGACCGGAATCGAACCCGGGACCTTTCAGTTCGCAGGCCGACGCCCTATCCACTGAGCCAAACCGGTTTCGGCATGTCTTTTCCTTTTTAAACGTACATGCTCTACCTACCGAGTGCTCCAGGCCTCCATGGCTACGTGGACGTGAAGAAAAATGGCACAAAGGAGAGGCGTGGGAACGCCAGCGTCAGTAACGCAGACAGGCGTGTGGAGTGTGCATCTGCCATGGTGGCCGCAGGGCAGCACCCGTGTGCTAGGCCTGAGGGTCCTCAGGGTGCCGGCCCTTCCCCCGTTAGGGCCTGTCTCCCAGAGCTGCCGGTCTTAGCTCCCATCTGACGGACGCCTTGCCTGTCCTTTCTCTCACCTCATATCTCCACAAGTCTGCCCAGCCTTCACGCTGCTGATGAACTAGCTGTGTTTTCATGAGCCTGTTAATCCCAGATCCTCCTTTTATGAGACTGTAAAGATGGGCTGTTCCTACGTTTTAAAGTCATCATTTTTGGAGAGCCAGCAGTGTGTGTGCTTTCCGTGGTGCGGAACACACTGCTCTTTTATAACAAGTACAGTACTGTTTAAATCAAAAGACAAATCTCTGTGTAGAGAACGTCTTTTCCCCTCGAAGGCTTGCTAGCTCAGAGTAATGCGTTCATCACAGGACAGTGCCCAGTGTAGCTTTTGGAAGTGAAGGTGTGAGTTTTCAGATGACGTGTGTTTGCAGAGTTGAGACCTGTGCATGCCGTTAGGGACTCGGTGGGAAGCAGTGACAGCAGCTGGCTGGTGCTTGATGAATGAATTTTTGTTGTTGTTTTCTGTTTTACCTGCAGGTGAAAAAGGTGTGAGGGTTGAACTAAATAAACCTTCTGATTCGATCAGTAAAGACGTCTTATAGAGAGACTGATCCAGCAATACCCTCCTTCACCTCCAGTGACTGTTGGCGCTTTGTTAACTTGTGACTACAAGTGAATGGGATAAAGAAATAGACAACCAGTTGGCATTTTAATAAGGAAACGGAAACAACCTTTTGGTGACGCATCGGGAAGAAGATTTGACCGTGAGGCTTTGTACTGCATGACTGACTCCACACCTGTGATCGCTGATGGAAGAGTAGAAGCTATCAGCTGAGAATGGTCTCTTCCCCTGGACATGATAAGTGCCCTCGGTAGCAGTGTTTCATTCATACATTTTGTCAGATCTGCCATCTAGCTGAGTTCATTTCATCTCCCTTTTTTATATAGTCAAGTTTGAATTTGGAGTAATTTTTGTATGATCAGGTACAATTTATCAAAACTGAATTGAGAAAAAATGACAGCATTGTCCCCCAAAATAGCATCAATCTATTTTTGTAAACCTCTTCGTACTATTAAATTTTGCCCTAAAAGACCTCTTATAATGATTTCTGCCAGTGACTGACAATTACTTTTCTTTTTACTTACAAGAAGGAGCACTTTAATTACCAGCTGAAAAATCGGATTTTTGGTAGTCCTGTCTTACACTAATTTGAACTCTTAAACATGGCTTCTGTTGTTTTTGTTGACATTGTTAATAATGAAACATAACAGTAAAACCATCACCATTTACTACCAATAACTTAGTTCTGAATGTTTTCTAAGAAAAAATACACAGCAAGAAAAATACAGGTTTATATTTTAAGTTAAATATTTTTTTTAAAAAGCTACAGTGACTGGCACTACGTGAACTTGAGGGTATCTTCAGCCTCAAGTTCCCGGGATAAAGGGCTTTCCTAAGCTCTCAGGGGTGTCCTGGAGCAGCGGTCGCCAGCCTTTCCGACCTCAAGGACCACCAGGTCCGCGGCCCGCCCGTTGGCCACGCTGCTGTAGGTAGAAGAGCCCCTCCTAAGGCTTTTCCTTGGGCTTCCCATTGGTTGGTTGCATGTTGAGCTTTGCTATTACGTTTTCCTGTTCCTACAACCCCCCCTCCCCCCGACCTGCAGGTCAGAACCTGGTTCCCGTTGGGTAGCCTCTAGGGGAGGCTGTGCTTCGAAACTGACTTGTCACAGAGGGGATGTTGGTGACACCTCAGGCCGCTGCTGAGGGGGAGGGGGTCCCCACCGTGAGGCTGGCCTCTTGATCAGCACCAAAAGGTGTGTGGCTCGCGTGGAAAATCAAAAGAAGAGAACAACAAGATCATTTCATGTGTGAGATTTCCTTTTTACTTTTCAGAAAAAGAGGGAATGTTCCGACATCACACAAGGCCTCCCAGACTTGGCCACATAATGTATGAACCGGAACGGGTGTCCTAGGCAAAGCCCACAGGGTGGCACCGTATCCTGCACAGATTATGGGTGGAAGGCCCACTAAGGTTTCCTATCTCTGTCCTTGATCTTCTTGGCCAAAACAATGTGAGTGTACAGAAATACTTCTGTATATTTCCGCTGACAACAGTTTTAAGCATTTGTATTGTTTGTATTCACTTAGAGGATTTTCTAGGGAAAGCTCAGTAATTTTTTTAAAAGATCAATATTGTTCATGTAAAACATGAAAAAAAATGTAGTGAAACCAACAGTGCGGATTTAGGGTGGGACTGATACTCAGTGTTGCGGCCTCACTGCGGGGAACTGCAGGACAAAGCTGCAGTTTATGTCTTTTTCATAGCCCGTGTTCAGTCTTGTCCCACTTCCTCTCCTCATCCCGATCATGCAGTAACATCTCCACAGCTAGTGCCTCTGCAGCCTGGCCTGGGGGCGTCCCAGCCAGCTGGTCTCCGCGTGTGCTGCCTTGTTAGGTGTCGAGCAGGTTGTGCTGTGTGGAGGGGAGGTCTGTCTGACTGTCAGGGCTCAGCAACAGCCTCCCAGCCTGGAAGCCCCGTGTCACGCTCTGATGTCCGCCTGCAGCTCTGCTGGGTGGGCTGTGCTGCCAGGCAGAGCTGACCTTTTGTAGTTTGGGGAGGAGTTTATGTAATCCCTTGGAGGTCATTGTGAAAGGATCAAGAACCAGAATAGCCATTTCTTTAATGTCCATTTAAAGTCTGCTCGTTTCTTGTTAGTGGGGTCGTTACATTGTCACCAAGCAGGACTCTTGTTCAAAACAAAATTTACAATTATTTGTGGCCTCGATGTGTTCAATCCTGGTTAAAGACAAAGCTGCTAATGCTGTTTTAATTCAGCACATTAACCAGCTGTAAAACACAGACCTTTATAAACAGGCACAGAATCTCAGGAGTCGTACATAGACCGTGCAAAGTCATGTAATGTGAAAAGCAGTGTTGCATCATGAAAGAGCGCCCACGCTGCTTGTAAAGCTGATCTAATTAAAGTGATGTGTAAACGTTCCTGGGAAAAAAAGTATGCTTGTTATTTCCATCTGTCTTTTCCTGTTCTTTAATCCTTTCTCAGAGACCGACTTTCTTTGTATCAGATACTGTGCTTTAACTATCCCACATCTCTGGCGTGGTTCAGAACGTCGGCCGTCACTTTTTGTAAAACGGGGCCCCAGGGGAGAGACATCCTGGGGGTCATTGCGCTGCCCTTGAGGCCCCTGAGCTCTGTGCTGAGATTCTCAACGTTTGGGTTCTACCCCTTTGAATAGGACTTTTAGAACGACTCTAACTCTCATGCTCTTGAGCACACCGGTGTCGCCCTGTGCTGCAAGAGGACGGGCATTGGCCCTTTGTCCCTAATTGTCAGAGGTGTCCTGTTGGGTGGGAGTAGTTATGGATTTGTGTGTCATAGGCTAAACTGTATGAGCTCATAAAATGAGATCAGTGGTCATGTTCACTTACCTCTCCTTTAAATATCTTTGGTGTGGGTCCCCCCCCCCAACCCATCTTTGGGCGTTTGGAAAATTGTACTGAAATGCAGCTGAGTGAATTCAGGGAGAGGACAAATGAGTTTGAGATGAGAACTAATTAAATTAGGCAGCGTAGTAAAAAGAGCAGACAGAATTGACCAATCTGTTTCGTTCTGGCTCAGCCACTTACTTAATTGTGTGACACTTAGAGCCATCTTAAGCGCAATAGCTACAGACTTGGTCGTGTGAGACCTAATGAAATACAGATTGCCCAAGGGGCACCTGGGCCGAGGATGAGAACCATGTACTGTATGTTTAATAACATAATTGTACATTAGCTTGTTTTCAGTTGTTTAAAAACATTCATTTGTTTAGAAACACCCAGTCTTAGTGCTTCAAGGATGGTTTGGGGGACATCTGAGGTCAGGGGTACACCCCCCGGATTCCGATTGTGGTTTTAATGCAGATTCTTTTCATCATCGCCGGCAAGTCCGTTTCACCTGAAACACGGCCATGTTCAAGGATGTGCTGTGGGTCAGTGATGAATATCAAGGGCAGGGCCTCGTGAGCTGGAAGACTTGTACGTAGAGGACACAAGCCACTTCCCAAGACAGGGAGCGCACACAGCTACAGGCAGCTAACGTTACTTTCATCGAATGGATCGAGCTCTGAACAAGGTGTCAGATTATTGGGTGTAAGGTCTCCTTTGCATTGAGGTGTTGACTTTTTCTGCCCAAATCACTCTATTTCTTTGGTGTTCTATAAAATACCCTTAGTTTTTTCCCAGAACACACAAAGCAAGCAGAGCAATCTTGATCTCCACTTACAAATAAAACAGGACCAGAGAAGTGAATTTTCTTAAAAAAAAGGGGGGGGGGACGCTTCGTCAATTCGCGTGTCATGCCTGTGCAGGGGCCGTGCTACCCTTATCTGCATCCTTCCCGTTTCAGCGTCAGGGCTGCCGAAGTGATCCCTGGGCGTCTGCCCGGTTCTGAATTCCGTTGCGACATCGCTGCACCTCGATTTTGCAGCACGAGGCGTGATCTCTAGCTTCCATCATGGGAGACACGCACAGGCCTCTGCAGCCCCAGCTGCCTGTCGAGCTCCTGCCCCATCCCCCCTCTTCCTCATGTAATCGCGCTGTAACGGGTTCACACCAGGTTAATAGTCTGTGTGCTCACTTAAAGCCCAGACGCGTTAGTAACCAGGGTGACTTGTCTTCCACGATCGACTGTTCTTCCTGCCTCGGTTCCTCCCTCTTTTCCCTGCGGCCTCCCACCTGTGGTCTTGTGGAGCCATCGCCCTTTATGGGGGCTGAGCCCCGTCTTTCTCAGGCACCTCTCCCCGTCGTTCCGGGGGCCCCCTCCCCGCTCGGTTGGATCTTGGGTTTCCTGGACCCCACACTTCCTCTTTCTGGGTTCACTTCCTCGGTCTGGCGCAGGTGCCCTCGGCGCTTCCTGTGGAGCCACGTGCGAGGCGAGTTTTCCCAGGCCACGTCTTTGTTGGCCCCTTCGTGGCTCATTTGCCTGAGTTCCCAATTCCAGCTTGGCCTTGGGTTTCCTTCAGGATTCGGAAGGCATCGCCTCCGGGCTTCTAGGTGGCAGGCGGGCGCTGAGCCGTCTGCAGCCCTGGCCGACTGTGTGTGTGTAACCTGCCTGTTCTCTGCGGACGGACGCCCATGGCATTGCCCTTGGCCCCAGGGTGCTGTAGGCTTCCGTGTGCTTTGGCGTGGGCCTGCGAGTGTGCCCTACATTTAGGGACATTTTCTTTATTTTTTTTTTATATTTAAATTCTTTATTGTTTAAAGTATTACATAAGTCTCTCTTCACCCCCATTGACCTCTCCCTGGCCACCACCACCCCCAACATTTTCTTAAATGACGACATTATTTCTCTCCTGCATCCTTGGCTCGTTGTGGAGCACCTGCCGGTGGGCCTGCCGCTTCTCCTAGTCGCTGTGTATCTGCCCTTTATTTTGGAGACGCCTTTCCCCCACCCCCGACCCCCCGTTTTCCCAGCAGGAGTTTCATGTCTGTTGTTGGGTTTTAATCCAGGGCTTTCTTTTGTTCTCTCAATTTTTTAAAAAATACATAAGATGTTCCATTTAACGGATAGTCTTCAACCTTCCTGTTGGTTTTCGGTTTTGCCCTTCCTCTTGGACGCTCTCCTCACCCGTCTGGTCGTTCTTGCTGTGTGTTCATGTTTAAGGGAAGGTGCTTGGGCTTGTGGGTTTTCAATAAATACTGGCAGCTGCCTAAATCCCAATCTTGCGTAATCCTCCCGACACGCTCCAGACCGGGACCAACGTCCCCTTTCCCTTGTCCTGCAGCGTCACCGAGACACGGGAAACAGCTCAGTGACAGCAGAGAACACGCATCTGAAGAGCCAGCACCGGGACCCACGGGAGGGTGGAGTCGGGTGGAAGCTCGGGTGGAGGGATGAGGGCCATGGGGCCAGCGTGGCCGTTCACGGGGACAGCAGGAACCCCACCGCGAGGGAAGGAAGCGCTGATACCTCTGACACCAGCTGCAGGAGAGGCGGATGTTGGAAAGTTCCTGAAATCGCAGCTCTCCTGTTGGGGAGCTTCCCTGGGGAGCCTCCCGTTTCTGGGAGAGGGGAAGGTACCTCCTAGAGGCCTGACGGGAAAGTGAAAGAAGCGAAAACTAAAATAAAGGCCTCAGAGACTCCAAACCCTCCCAACTCACAAAGAAATGCTGTATTGCCCCGTCCCAGTCCCAACAGACGAGAGAAGCCACACACCCCTGTCCTTGCTACCGAGAACCAACTGCAGTGCCTTTCAAACAGGAAAAGGAAGACGGGTGGTGTGAACGCTGAGAAGAAGAGACAGGATCCACACAGCACAGGGACATTGTCTCGCCAGCCACTGGCAGAAGAGAACTGGAACCACCCGGATCTGAAGGAAATGCCTCCCACAGGACTGCAGAAATCAAGCTGAAAATGAAAAATCTCCACCAAAAATGGGTCCAAAGAGGAAACGGAGAAACCTCAGGGAGCGTTGAAACAAGGCTTGATGTAACTCGGCAAAGAAATAGAAAAAGACAAAATGATCTCAAATTGACATGAAGCTATAAAGTACCCAACGAAGAATAGCGGCACCTGAAAACACAGTGAAATATAATAAAGAGGAAAGCAGCCAGGAGTTCAAAGCGGAAGGGATGGACACAGGTGCACTGGGGAGGGGCGCACTGTGCAGCCCTGCCCAGCCCTGAGGAGCAGCAGCCTGCGGGTGAGTCACAGCCTGTTCGGAAGCGCATTTATGTGTATCTATTGAATTATTATAAATGTCTGCAAATTCGTAAGCGAGTCCTCTGAGGAGTCTCTTGTAGAAGAGCAAATACCCTCTCGGTTTTAACGCTGATGCGGATTTTCATATGCTATTGGCCCTTGAACAATGCAGGGGGCAGGGGCGCCCATCCCCAGTCAGAAATGACAGGTAACGACTCCCCCAAAACTTGCCAATAACAGTTGATTGACATATATTTTGTGTACGTATTCTAGACTGTATACGCACAATAAAGTTAGCTAGAGAAAAGAATTAAAATCATCAGGAAAATACAGTATTTATTGAAAAAAGAAATCCATGTGTAAGTGGACCCGCACTGTCCAAACCCATGTTCAGGGGTCAACTGTATGTAGTTGGCGAGGAATGCTGACAAGTGGGAGGGTTTGTGTCTTACGAGGAATCTAGGTTGGAAATAGGCAAACCTTGATTTTTCGGAGAACTACGGAGAAGGGCCGGTGCTCCTTAAGGTGTTTGTGAAAAGCAGATAATGGAATCTGAGAAATGCCCAGCCATCGCACTTGCTCGCACCAAGAATCTAAGAGGCTCCTCTTTGTTCTTATCCTGGAATGCAGGGGCAAAGGGCATACCCAGTCGAAACTTCCAGACTAGTTGAGACGACACAGCCGTGACGGACATGCTAAAGGAGGAGAGTGTGATCTCATACAGTGGGAAAGCCTGGCTTTCCTTGTCCGGCAGACTTCCTGTTGGGCACTGCCATGTGCGGTTTTTTTTAACATTTTATTTTCACATGATTACCTTTACTCAGTTTTCATTTTTGTATCTATTTTTATTTTTATTTTTATTTTTTTAAAATATATTTTATTGATTTTTTACAGAGAGGAAGGGAGAGAGATAGAGAGTTAGAAACATCGATGAGAGAGAAACATCGATCAGCTGCCTCTTGCACATCTCCCACTGGGGATGTGCCCGCAACCCAGGTACATGCCCTTGACCGGAATCGAACCTGGGACCTTTCAGTCCGCAGGCCGACGCTCTATCCACTGAGCCAAACCGGTTTCGGCTGTATCTATTTTTAAAATATTTTATACTTTTAAATGTTTTTATTGATTTCAGAGAGAGAAACATCAATGATGAGAATCATTGATCGGCTGCCTCCTGCACGCCCCACACTGGAGAGCGAGCCCACAACCCAGGCATGTGCCCTGACCGGAAATCGAACTGTGTGACTCCCTGGTTCATGGGTTGGTGCTAAACCATTGAGCCACAGAGCGGGGCATTACCATGTTTTGCTCTATGCGAGTCCTGGTTTCTTTCTTGCATAAGACTCTTGTGTTGAGTGAAAGGTGAAATAAGTTTGGGGAGATGAAGGTGCCCTGTTGGTGAGTCCTTGGCTGGCTGTGTCCCTCTCCCTGGATGTGAGATTATAAGCTGTCCTTTCCCTTCTGTGACTCAGAACTGGCAGTTACTGTTACCCCTGTTGGCAAGTTTCTCTCTGATCCTTGGGTTTACTTTGCCCTGGGCTATTTCCGAGCAATTGAACTTGCCAAGAGCGCCACCTGGTGTTCAGTAAACAAGAGGGTAAATCTTGTCGGTTTATCGCCAGCAGGTTTCTGCATCACAGTAAACAGGTTGGAAACTTTAGTTCCAGAGTCACTTAAGTCTTACTTTTTATTTCATGTGATGATGAAGTATGTGGTCAGACAACTTACAGTATTCTAGTGGAATGTCAGAAAAAATAAAAGCCAGAGCTGATCTCCACATCGCACCCTTTCTGTTCATTTCCACTCCCGAGGCAATCTGACCTGTAATGATGACTGTACGTTAGAGTTTCTCCTCATGTGGTGGCTCTGCTGCTGGTCAGCCACCACAGCCGATTGCTAGGAAGGCAGCGATTGCCTCTCAGTAAAGATGATCAGACCACAGCGTTTAGCTGTCCTCCCGCAGCCCAATCAGACACGATGCCGGGTGGGCCCTGGGCTCACAGCTGGGCACCACGTTTGCCAAGACCCAGTGGCTGTTTCACGTTGACTTTCTAATTTACTTAAAAACCCTATCAGCTTCGGGGAAATAGTATTCTCAGAGCTTTGGAACCGTCAGAGAAGTTTCTGTCATAAAGACAGAACACTAACTTTAGAGTTAGTTTTGCTAGATAGCATATAACCTTGACTTCAGAAATCCCAAATGAAGTGTACTCCCCATCTACCTAACTGAGGGAGACGGCATTTAGAGGTGGACCCAGAATCACCAGCTCCGTATTGGGTAGGAAGTTTGCTTTAAAGGGGAAGGATCTAAATCAATAGAACAGAAAACTATTTCTTTGATATAGTGAACGACTCAGATTTGGGAGTAACAGAATTCTTAAGTATTTAGCAGGTTAAAGTGAAGACTTAGTTACAAATTTAATTTCAATATTCTCTATAGCTAACCATAGTTCTTCCATCATTGCTTGAAACTGACCAACTCTAGAAAGTCCCACAGCACCTGGTAGGAACCTTGGCAGCACTTACCATATGGAAATTAACCTGCTTTTGTCTCCTGTGTAACGACATATATTCAACATGATGCACACATTTTAAGTAATTTGTGTTTATTAAATACTACTTTTCAACTTCACACTTGAGAAATAGCAAAATTTGTGAACTGTCAACCAGATAGGCTAAAATGACAAGGATTGATAATAGTGTTAATAACTGGACAACTGAAACCCTCATACATTGCTGGTAGGAGCATAAACTGGCAACATTTACTAAGCTAACCATAAATACACCCTGTGAGCCCGCAAGCCAATTCTGGGTACATGCCCAAGAAAATGACAATGTTCTTAGCAGCATTATTCGTAATCACCAGCTCCGACTGGAATTCAAACGTCCATTAATTTAGAATGGATGTATACATGTTGGCATATTCACATACATACTACAGAGCAATTTTTTAAAAAAGAATGAACTTATGCTACACATATCAACAAAGTGTTACTTTATGAAGTTCAGAAACGAGCTAAACTAACCTGTGGTGAGAGAAGAAAACAGTGGTCACGTTCGGGGAGCCTGGGTGTTAGCCGGGTAAAGGCACCACCAGGACCCCAGCTTCACCCCGAGGATCTCTGCGCCTCATGTACACACACGTCATGTTGCACCCAAATTCAGAAGAAAGAAAACTTGGGAACTCACGTCTTAGGAATATGCCAATATGCTGGAGGACTAGCCAGGAGACAGAAGTAAACGGATAAAAGTAGGTTCCTTCACTAAAATATTCCTTTGCTAAATAATTCCTATTATTACAATGGTTTCAACTTTGGCTTATAGCGTAATACTGATACTTTCAGACAATGGTTCACTGTCACATAAACTAGGCAACTAACTCTGCTGTGTTATATATATTAATTACTTAGCACCAAGTTTTAGCCACTCATTTTGCTAAATTTTGAAAAAACTAAACTCTGGCCTAGAAAATTATAGTGGCTATTTGACTAGTAATACTCCAAAAGAAATCTACTTTCACCTAAAATCAGTTACCACCAAAGTCAAATAAATAAAATTCAAGTATATAAAATGTATTTCCTGTTAAGATTTGGGAGGAAAAAATCTAAGAAGTTTTTTAAATAACCTTGAGTACCCTAACGCAGCTAACTTTGTATTCTAGATTGTGTTTTGGTCAATATGCTTGACACTATACACATGAACAGTACTAGGAATGAGTTTTAATATTAATAAATACTCAATTTAACCAAATATTTAATTCCTCACTAAATATTTTGAGGGAAGTACACAAAAAGATTAAAATATTTAAAACCTTTAAGAGCAAGAAAGAAGAGTACCTGAAAACTATGCATGTAAACACGCAGCGCTGGGCTGCAGTATACGTAAGTCACGAGTGAATATAAATATAGCACCTTCGACAAATATTTTACATTACAGTGTCGTAGGTATATGTAAAATAGAACATCTGTTGGGGACTACAGCTAGACTATACCCTACACGTCTTAGCATTTCCCAGAACTTCCTGAGTGACTGACACGAATGGTGAGGTCACACTGCTGGTGTGTGAGACCCATTCCTTTTTCTAAAGATTTCTTCTTTTGACTTCGCTGCTCTCGCCTTCAAGGCACACATCTAAGTGCTCGTTAATCTGAGCCTCCAGCACCTCACTCTGACACACCGGACACGCCACCGTTTGGCTCTGGCTGGTGGAGCTGGTGGAGCTGCCGGAACTCGGTGCTGCAGCCGCAGGGCGGGAGCTGCACTGGGGATCGCCGCCACCGCTTTGTGTCTTCTCTTTCTTGATGAAAAAATTCTCAAAAACCGTCTTGTCTTCCCGCCGGCCCCGTTTCCTGGGGGGTTCGGCTTCGGCCCGGGACGCAGTCGCCGTCGCCTCCGCTTTGAGCGAGTTCCGGAGGGCGGCCTTGGAGGAGGAAGTCCTTCTCTGAGAAGCGGAGGCAGGGCTCTTCCCCGTGTCGCCCTTCGTGGGGGACCCGCTCACGCTCCTGAATGCCTTCTGGTTGGCCACGGACGCTCGGGGGAAGTAGTTGCTGACCACGTTCTGGCGACCGGTGTTCAGCACAGGGGAGGCCGTTTTCTTCCTGGAACCGTTCTGTTCAGATTTCGCCTCCGTTTTCGCATTCTGCCTCCCAGCACTTGCCGAGTGGTCTGGACCTGCGGGGTCCTGGGTTTTACTAGCAGGTGAAGTGGGGAGCCTCCCGGAGGGCAGGAGGTTGTTGGTTTCTCCCAGGACACGGCCTCTCCCGCTGAACGGCACAACTCCGTTCGTTTTATCTGCAAGAGGCAAGTGAGACTTTTCCTTCACCCACATTAATACAGTAACAAATGCTAAAGTATTTCACTCTAACTTAGATCCGTGTAATTACCTATTAACGGAAGAAAGACCATCTTCAGCAGCTCGTACTCAGAGAACACAAAGGATAAAACACATGCTCTCGTTTTATCAGGCAAAGACCCGCAGCGACATAACTTTCCCCTGCACGTTGCTTAGCATCGGAGAGCTTGGTTCCAGGAGGGGAAGGCCCACCACATGCCACAGCCTCCTCCTCACAACACCCAGGTGTGATCGCCCCTAAATTCCTCTACAGCTCCTCAACCGGGCGTTTCGGATTGGGGAAGTGCAGCTCACATGCCCGGTCCCCCATCAAACCAACAGCTTCCCAGGGAGGAAGCATGAACTCTAGTAACCTGTTCCCTCTTCAAAAGGCCGGGACTGGACTTGTCAGGAAAGGGAGAAACCTGACGACGAAGTCCTTGCAGGCACATGTCACATCCTGTCCCCCTTCTCCTCCCAATGGAAGGACACACATCAATAGGAGCGGCAGCTGGACCGAATCCAGCCACTAGGAAGGGGGTGTAGGAACGGCTCACGTTCCGGGCATTGTTGTGGGAATTAGTGTTTTTGTTTTGACAATCTTTTTGCCTTCTGTTTCCTAATGACTCACTGAGACACAGGGAAGGGGGACCCTCAAATATTTATCCGTGGAAACGATTTCGACTTTTACTTCCATCTACACGTGTGTTTTTCTACCATCATTCATGGGCTATAAGAGTTTTATAAGCCCACACTGGAAAACTTCAAGAAACAATCCTTAAGATTCTCTAATATTGTGTGCCAGCTTTCTAAAAGATGGTACTGTCTTTACACCGTAGCTACCACGGAAAGCTGGCATGTAACAGAGTTACCTTTATTCTCCGCTGCTGCGAGCTTGGTCTTTCCTTTGCCTTTTTTGGAGTAGTTCTCCGGTTCCTTGATTTTGATGTAGGTGCCCCCGCAGGTGCTCTGGTGCTCAGCCCACCAGTAGTCGTGCGCGGAGGGAGCCCTGTTGGTCGCACGCTTCACGTAGCCGTAGTAGGGTTTCTGGAACTGACACGGCCCATCGCAGCGCCACCAATGGCGCCGGTACTCGTCCACCTCGTTGTGGAAGGTGTGGTATATCTGGTTTGAAAGAGAGGGTTTAGCACTGAGTAGGCAGCTTAACAATTTTAAGAAAATACAAAAGGGGTGTTTTTTTTTTGTTTTTAAGCTTTCCAATTTCCTAGAACTTTCTGAAGTTTTATTTTGGGAAAGACAGCAATTATATTTAGCTCTGTTCAAAGTTCACTTTAATGGGGAAGAGCAGCAGTTAAATGTGGATTAGAAGACCGAAAGCCTTTTAGAAAAATGCAAAGTCTCCATACATGCTAAAGTTTTAGAAAACGAATTTAATGATAAAAACTTAGGATAAAAAACAAGAGCCTATGTATGCCATAACTAAGAACTATTGGCCTACAAGTTTAGCACCAAAGGGCTGAGGGCTCCTTTCCATGCTGAGCTCCCTAAACCCAAGCATCTCACCCGTGCAGCCTCCGCGGAAGCCCGCTCTCCACTCACGTCTCTCAAAGAAGCCGTGGGTTCATTTGATCTGCCGGAGGGGGAAACACTGTCCGGAATTCTAAGGTTTTCATCTCTGCGTCCTCGGTGGCTAATGTACGTGTGGCCCATGAAGGGCCCAGTGTTGGCTGCCTGACTGAGGAGCTTCATTCAATGGGTCCAGGTTCCCTGTAAAGGCCTTTTCACCCTTAACCAGGATCACCGTTTCACCCTGAGATGAGATCCTACTTAGTGCCTAAGCAGAGGCAGATGCAGACTTGGGACCCAAGGAGAGCGAGCCCTCCCGCCCTGGTGGCAATGAGGGTGGCAGGGCACCATTTAAAGACGGATTCTCCTAAATGACTGAGTCCCTTCTCTTCTGTCTCCTCAGGGGAACATGACTAACTGTCCAAGATAAGGAGCATCTGTATACGAGATTTTTTACTTTTTTTATAAGACATACTTTTTAATACATTCCCCATGTGGGAAAGAATGCTAAGCTTTCTGTAACTCTACAGATCATTTTGTACTCTCCATCTTTCCATCATAAGCAAGAAAAACCCTATTGCTTGGCCAGCATGCAGACAATGGGCACTGTATTAGGTGCGGAAGGGACTGGGGGACAGAGGTTTGGGGCAGAGGCATGTATGTCAGACCTGCCTTCCCTCCTGTGGAGAGCTCTGCTGATTGGCCACAAAATCTGGGAATTGGATCTGTCTTGCTTCCAACTCCTGTAACTCCTACAGCCGGGGAATGTGACTTTTAACAATGTGGTCACTGAAAGAAAACGGTTCCGCAGTGTGAAACTGGAGGCCTGTGGAGTTTGTTATAACAGGATGTAACCTGAAAAAGCAAGGGTGTCCACTCGAGCAAACCTCTGCGACCTAACAACACACAGGCCTCCAGATAAAAGAATACATCCTCTTCCCGCTGAGCTGAGTGCAAATTCTAATGAGACCAGAGCCTTTATAGTGGCAGCTCCGCGATGCTTTTGCCAATCTGGGCTTTCTGTGGTTGTTCTTTAACGCAAGCCACTTTCTTGATGTTGAAGTAACTCTATCCGCTAATTAATGAGCGCTCGAGAAAGTTAGCACTGACAGCTAGAAAAAATACGTCAAGGGGAGCCCTTGTTGGTTTTTATCACACTGGCCTCTACTGCCTATTAAAGGAAGGCGATACCCCAAAATCCAAAGAATTTATGCAAGAATGTCCTATTTGGTTCACTTCTGTTCAAAGTCTGTTAAGTCCTTCCAGCGGTGCTCGCTCCATTGAGCGTCACATACAGAGGTCTAGAAAGAGGGAGAGCGCGCTGTGTTGAGAAAATAAAATCCTGCAGAAGGTTCAACATCTACTGAGAGTTAAAGGACAGAGAAGTCAGAGCCCACTGGGCAGATGGACATGCTGACAGCAAACAAAAGCAGCAGTTTGGAGGGTTTGAGGAGGGGGTGGAGGTGGAAAGTTCAGTTAGCAACACAAGGCCTATCCAAGCAGGGAATGTGGAGGTAAGAAAAAAAAGGAACAGAGAGGTTATCAGATAAGACCAATTGATAACAATAAAACGACTAATATCTAATTAGCACCCAGACTGCGCTAAAAGGTTCTGCGTGTATTTTCTCCTTCCATCCCCTTAAGATCCAAGTTACTGTGCTCATCCCCACTTTCCACGTGAGTAAAATGAGCGGAGAAGAGTTAAGTGGGCCCACAGTTCATAAGGATCCAAGTTACTGTGCTCATCCCCACTTTCCATGTAAGATGAGCGGAGAAGAGTTAAGTGGGCCCACAGTTCAGACCAGCACCAGAACCCACGCAGTCTGACCCTCATGCTCTTCGGGCCCAGGCTCTGCCACCTCCTCCGATATTACGTCGCAAGAGAAACCCAAGTCGACCTGGGGAAGGGAAGGACGTGAAGCGGGGCAGAACACAGGCTGGACTGAGGAGGAGACTACACTGAGGAAGGCGTGGGAGACCGCCGCCAACAGCCCAGAAGAGGGACTGCAGGGACCGCACGAAAGGCGCCTCTGGGAAGGCCGGCTCCGCTGCCTCTCCCAGGTCAGCGTCTCCAGGCCTCTCGCTTCTGGGCAAAATCCTCCAAGAGAGCATTCGCTTCTACCCAGTTCTCTATCTTTCACTAAATCTCAGCAGCTCCTGGATGAATGAGCTACTG